GTGGTTGATTTGTGTGTGTGTGTGTGTAAAAAAAAAGGGGGGGGGGTGTCTGCACTAACTGAGATTCGTTACACAAATTCATGTTTTATCGAGTAACTTGAGTACATGGGAAGCTCATGCATTGCTGACGCCATTGCTTGGCGGGTTACAACTAGTAATATAATGATAAGGTAGCCCCGACGGTGTTGAGCAGCAACTATGCCACTGATTTTTTCTTGTCGTCTTGGTCGAGGAGCGTGCCGCCAGATTTAATCGGCCCGCATCGTTATACCAAGATCCATCGCCAAGGCCCACCACAATGACGCACCAAAGTCTGCACCATCAGAGTTTGTTTGTGTGTGGACATATTTGAGACTTTATACCCCAAGTTACACTACAGAAATACTTAATTTGCCTTAAATAATCAGAAAAAAATATTACCCTTTACTATTCTGCTGTGTAATTATAATTAGGACTGAGTCGGGTACTGATCCGAGTACCCGGAAAAGACGAGTATCAGTACTGCCGCATCCTGAAAATAAACCGGAACCGGGTGCAGGTGTTTAAAAAAAAAAGAGTTATCTTCTCATGTTCTCTGTGTTCCACTCAATGAGGAGAACTTAAGAACCAGAACACCAGTGTTACAGGATTGTCAGTGCATTTTTTTTACCCGAGTTCAATAAATGACTGTAGAACAATAAGTCAAAATAATGCCAATAAAAAAACCTGAATAGCTGTTGTTGCGAAGCTAAAGGAAAATAATAAAACGACTCTAAATAATAAGGGACTTGCAGGGATTTTTATATCATCATTCTTTTGATATACGGCATTTTTGATATACGGCATTTTTGATATACGGCATTTTTGATATACGGCATTTTTGATATACGGCATTTTTGATATACGGCATTTTCTATATATAACTAATATTTAATGTCACATTCTGACTAAATGATGATACGGAATAGCAAAAGATTGTGTGTGTATGTGTGTGTGTGTGTGTGTGTGTGGATCACTTCTAAGTTCTCTCATAGAATTCAATGATAGTTATGTAATTGAACACACATTTAATAAGTGAAACAAATGGCTGAATTGCTGGAAGGCTTCGATGGTATCATCATGATCTGAAGGGTCACAAGGCAAAGGCTTCGATAATATCATCATGATCTGGGGGTCACAAGGCAATATGTTTGGGATGGCTAGGGTATATCAGATTTTTAAAATACTTTTTCGGGGGGGGGGGGGGGGGGAGGGGGGGGGGAAATGAGAGGTCGGTCTTTTTACAAAAAAAATGTGCATCTTGTTTTATCAATGATTGGACTAGTTTATTATTGTCAGAACACACTCTGATTACACTACAGCTACATAACCCCTAACCGATGTTCCCTTAAGCTGCGAGGCTGCGCGGCCGCGCAGCAATCTCACAGACGCCGCGCATCAGTTTTGAGTACCGCGCAGCTAATTTCCACTTAAGTGTCTGTAGGCTGAAAATTTTGCGCACAAAAAAAATTGATGCTGTAAAAATTTGCACACAACTTTATGATTTTGCACATGAACCAACGAATCTTAGAGGGAACATTGCCCCCAACCCCACGAACCAACTCTAAAAAAAAAACAAAAAAAAAAACATCATTCGGTTATTGTCAGCAGCTAATTTAATACAACTTTTTCGGCATTTCTATTCATTAAAAAAAATTACCTTACATATGATTTTGTTTTTTGTTTTTTTTTTTTGTCTTCATTTTATTGGGCTAATACTTCAAGGTTAGCAACTTCCACGCAAAACTATATTCAGGTGTGTGAATTTGTCAAAAAGTTGGGGGGGGG